ATGAAACCAATCAGTCGCTGCTAAATTCCTTGAAACATGAAAGAACTAGGAGAATCAAGTTATATACCTTCCTAAGCTTCGGTACTGATCAATGATAACCCTGCAACCAGCAACCCTAACATCAATCAAGAAAGTAGAGAGGTATTAGACAAGAGACAAGTTGTTGAACTAAATCTTGTAAATCCCAGACGAAAGGCTAAGAAGAACACTTACGGTTTGTGCTCCTTGCAATTGCAGTGAGCCAGTGACTGGAAATGGCAATTGCAGGAAGCTGCTAGCTTACTACTTCTCTCTAGAGTGGTATGCCTTCTGAGAATCTGCAGGAAAAAACTCAATTAAGGTATTTATAGGCGCATGGATGAAGGGGAAAAAGAAGATGGTATCGAACTCGAAGAGTCGATAAAGGGAAAATGGTGCTGTAATCGTCATCGGGTATGACTCGATTCAAAAAAATCGAAGGGTTTCAACTGATTGATTAGGTATCTGATCTTAAGAACAATGAATGTAGTGATTTTGTGCAGTTTTTCTCTACAATCGAAGAGTATATTGCGAGATTTGAGGAGAAGAAGAAGGGTTAGGGTTGGGGATTCGATTTTTTAGAGCGGCACTAGTGTAAGGGGATGATTTGTTTTTGTGAAATGAGTTGGGGTGGGCTGGATGATTAGAGTGGAAGCGGGTATCGGGTTCTCTTGGGGCGGATAGTAAGAAACCCACCACCGCCCAACAACCGGCTGTAGCGGGTAACGGATTTCCCGCAATCCGTCAACAATTCATTTGGCCGGGTTTTAACCGCCACAAAACGGGGCGGGTTCGGTTCGACACCCGGAATTCGGGTCTAATTGACAAGCCTACTCGTAAACAAGAAAGCTCCTTTTTTTTCATTTCACGATGTTGTGATTGGTTTTGATTTTTGTACTTGAATCTTATGAAATCATGAATATTGTATTTATGTGTTTTTTAGTAATGCAAGCTATCCATTGTGAAACAAGAATTCCCAATTAGGAAACTAATCATCGACAATTAAGCACACGGCCGACCAACGGAGGGAGCGTTCTTTCTTTCTATGGGTTTTTTTTTTAATTATTAAACATTGCATTTTGTGCTTAACATCAACTGCAAACATGTATCGTCAGCATTTGGCCGACCAATGAGCTTAATGTTTAATTGGTTTCTGTTTTATTCTGCTTGCCCCATATATATATATTCAGTAATAATAGTTTTAATTTAATATAATTTCTATCCGCACAATCATCGGCAAGTGGCAACACCTCAATCATGTTCTGTTTTTCTTCTTCTACTGAATTACGTTGCAATAAATCCATCGGCATTTTCAGTTTTCAAGGAAATAATTCAGAAATAAGTCCACAAATTGTTTTGAAGGGCTGGGGACAAACTGTTGATTGGCTGCTTTTTATTCAAGTGATTATTAAATATACAATCATTGAACTAAAGGTCAGCCATTCAAACCATTTAAATTGGCTAATTACACTTAAGTGCATGATTGTTCTAAAATGCATATCGTAAATCTCATATGATATATTTAAGAACAGTTCATTCCAAGAACAAAAATAGCAATGATCATAATTCATAATGATCCACATATGACATATTCTACCAATGTCAAATTATTGGTTGCCAATAAAAGTTTACACCCACAACTAGACGCTCAAATTTGATCGAATTTAACAATAATATATGTAACACACAAAGAGCGAGTTCCTTCCAAAAATGAAGTTCATGGTAAATAATGAGCTTTGCCTTCAGAAGGCTAGAATGTAAAAGGGTCTACCGAACTCAAGCGACAAAGAATACCCCAAATTTTAACCCTTCAATAATTCACTACCACAAAACTATAGGCTATCTCGAGGAATACAATTGCTTCATTCTCTATTTATACTCAAAATACGCGTTTCTACACCAGACGAATATGAAAACTTATCTTGAAAAGTTTGGATGTTCCATTTTGTCCAAATTGCCCAAAATGAGCCATAACGACTATAGAGAAAACCTCCAATAATTTCAATTCTACTTTACAATCGACTTCATATATTGATCTCCATCCATACTCGAAACACTTCCTAAAACATCTATCATAAGTTATATTTTGTTTGTGAAACATATGTTATTAATTAAAAATTATGTGTAAATTTTATACACAAAAAAAGAGTGCGTGTAAATTGAGCGTTGACAAATGACAAATGCACTAATTAACCCGGTGCTCGTGATTAGCACTCTATTAATGTAAAGGAAGCAAGTAACACGAGAAGGCAAAAGTGAGTTTTGGCACTTTTTCTCTTTTTTTTCAGGGTCTCGTCCAAATCGAAAATATTAATGATGCAATGTCACCACTGTCATTTGTCCATTTATGATGGCTGCGAGAGCTGTGCAGAAGCAGCTACTACAGGCTCTCGCCTTGCCACGTGGATGCTTCAAAACTATACTGCAATATACAATACTTACCGTATATAAATGTAACAATTATTTCATATGTGTCCTATAGTGCAATCAAGACTAAGACACAGTGAAAAATCAATTTCTTATGGAAATAAAATTGCCACACATCATGGTATCCTGTCCTGGTTACAAAATAGTACACAGATGAAATACAGATTACATTTGGATACCTAAATTATTCCTCCACTACAACAGACCAGCTAGCTGCCAAGAAAATCCAATGAGAGTTTATCATATATATAGCTAGTTCCACATTGGCAATTTCACCTCACGCATATGGGTTCAATGGATTCAAAATCATCAAATTTGGGTCGCTAGCATACCAGTCAATCCGTTTGATTTATGAAGAATTTTTGTTGAATCTTGACTCTTGAGAACGAGTTAAAGTTATTTCCTTTATTTTTGTGAATTTTTCGATAAAATTGTCTAAATTAGTGTATTAATTCAACAAAATTAATAATAAGAAAGATCATTGCATCCTCTGATTAATTAGTTATCAATTTAGAAGATGATTTATGAAGAATTTTTTGTTGAATCTTGAGAACGATCAAAATTTATTTCATTTATTTTGAGAATTTTTTCTCTTTTTAAATTGTCTGAGTTGGTGTATTACTTCACCAAAATTAATAATAAGAAAGATAATTACATCTTCTAATTAATTAATTATCAAGTGAGAGGATGATTTATGAAGAATTTTTTTGTTGAATTTATAAGTTATTTTCGTGAATTTTGGCGCTTAAAGTGTCTAAGTCGGTGTATTAATTCATAAAAATTCATAATAAGAAAGATCGTGCGAGTGACATGCTCATTTTTCAGCTATTTCTTTGCAATGGAAAGGTCCGATATTTCTTAATGGGAAATCATACCCCCAATCCTTGCGAGAATATAATTAATTTGCATTTTTATTTGAGTGATATAAATCAGTAGCTTGACTATTATGTTCACGCCTTTGTGTAAACACATATTAATATCATTCTATATTTTTGAAAAGGGAGGTGTGAGGACGAGTTTAGTCGTTAAGCTGATGCAAACAATATTACTTGCAAAATTGTCTCCATAACAGGTGCTACACTTACCAATTGTGACTAGCGACAAGGACTAAATTGGATAGCAAAATGAATTTTTGGACAGATATGTAGAATGAAAAAAAATGTGGTACTTGGTCAAATTTACTAGCTGCTAGGTCATCATCATGCTTTAATTTACTCATCTTCCTAGGTAACAGCTTTGCTTAGATGATTGATTGGGCAATGGGTATGGCGGTCTCTCTCAGGCCTCGGCGACTTGGCTCGTGTCCGGCTGGATTTCTAGATTGTAATTAATGATCTGAAAGCTATTTATTTCTAGATAGTTTAAAGGGTTGGAATTGATCACCTAATAAGAAAGGTTTTGGATTTGAGTTTGGTGTTTTAGCTAGGTCTGCACCACAATATCCCTCGGGAGCCAACTAAAGAAATTTTCCTAACATAAGAGAATTTCGGATTGGCCGGTGGATGTATTTAGAAGTGGTAATTAGTATACTATTCTCATTTAAGAATCCAATTCATACTAAAATATCTAATTAATTTAATTTATTTGATCCAAATTTGATTGGATTGGTGAATTCATAGATTTATCTTTGTATCCAAATGACATATTACAGTTAGTACCTATACTTTTTATATATTACATTCTGGCACCAAAAATTTATTTTTTAAGACGAAAAATATCATTGAAAATTAAGTTTTGGTACTTAAAATTTTCATTATGAAATTTCAGGACACAAATTTTCAAAATTTAAATGTCATTTGAATCTATAAATCAATCCATCTATCCATTACAAATCTGATATATTTGCCACCACTATTGCGCTTACTTTTCCATTTTGTGCCTCGATATTAAAAGAGTTTATTGTGTTCAATCGTTTTGATTAATGAAAAAGATAAAGAGAGAAAGGCTAAAACCTTTTTAGTAACACCCATCCACTCCACGTGTTGGATTCTCACTTTTCATTTCGAAAATTTCAGTTGATACACAATATGATGTAGATTACTAGTATCACATTATTAATATTAGACCAATCAGCTTTATTTGTCATCAGTGTAATTCATTCCTATTTATATTTGTCACTTTCGCTTATACCAAAACAAAGAAATTGGTCTAATGACGGAATGAGCTCGATAAATTAAGTTGAGAGATCAGTAGTCATAGTAAACACGAACATGGCTTAATTTAATTATGAATGTCATGACTCATCCGAATTGGAAGGGGACATCAAATAGTTACAAACAAATGAAAATAATGTAACAGGAGGTCGTGATTCACTAGTTTCAACCATGATGTATTCTTTAGTTGCTGTTTTGGAGGGTATAACAATATAATTGATGAGTTGGGAATTTACTCTTCTTTATTTGAACTGATTTAATTTAATTTCTACCTGGGAAAAGGAAATTAAGAATCATGTGATTAGTCATTATAGTTATAGATCCCCCACTCGTCAGAGACGATTAGCTTAAAGACGCCTAACAATCAGCCACATAAGCTCCTCCGATCCGCCTATATAAAAGGGCCCAGAACCAGAATCAGGTCAGCAGCCCCATTCATTTCATTTGTCCCAAACCTCGAACCCGCTCTGCCTCCTTTCTCTCCACTTTTCCATCAATATGAACCAGCAGCAGCCCAGCGACACCCTCCCAGATGCCTGGGACTACAAGGGCCGCTCCGCCGCCCGCTCCAAAACCGGCGGCTGGACCAGCGCCGCCATGATTCTCGGTCTGCCTCTAAATAATATTAATAATATTCATCCATCTTCTCTCTTCCTTCCTTTCTTTACGTTTACGGCCCAACACCGTCTCTTACTTTATTTTCTTCTTTTTTCTGGTCAGGCGGGGAGGCGTGCGAGAGGCTGACGACGCTGGGGATCGCCGTGAACCTGGTGACTTACCTCACCGGAACTATGCATTTGGGCAATGCCACCTCCGCCAACACCGTCACCAACTTCCTCGGAACCTCCTTCATGCTCTGCCTCCTCGGCGGCTTCATCGCCGACACTTTCCTCGGCAGGTCTGTCCATGTTCTTTATCTAATTTACTTTTTGGGTTTCTTCTTCAAATTTTCTTCCCAGCTGTTTCTCCCTCCCCCATGTTTTTACCGTTCCTCGTTTTTAACAACTTTTTCAACTTTTGCCCCTTGTGGCTGACAGGTACCTGACCATTGCCATCTTTGCAACCGTTCAAGCCACGGTAAGAAAAATAACGAAAATTACCGTCACGGTGCATACAGATATAGTAGTAGTAAATACCCAGCCCTGCGGTTAAAATATATCACCAATAAACTAAAATTCCATGTTAGTTATAGTTAAAATTTCCCCTGCAAAAACTGTAAATAAGATATTTACAGTGACGAGTGGTTGTCTGGCACACCAATCGTTGAATAAAGTATTTAATTAAAATTTCATTATGTTCCATGTGATTGTTACGTTGATTTAACTAAACAAACTAAGTTATATATATCTTTCATGAACTTACCCGCGATTCTAGTAATGGGGAGTAGAGTCCAATGTGAGCTGTGGCCATCATAGAAACAAAATTTAATTATGATTTTTTTTTCCACACAATTTAATTAATTTGGAACCAAATTAATTAATAAGTAAAATCTAAACAACAATTTCTTTTCTTGTGTTGCAGGGCATAACAGTTCTGACGATCTCAACAATAGTCCCATCCCTCCGCCCGCCGAAATGCGAGAAAAACGACACCGTCTGCGTCCCGGCGGACAACACACAGCTCCTTGTCCTCTACCTAGCATTGTACATGACAGCTCTGGGTACGGGCGGGCTGAAATCCAGCGTGTCCGGTTTCGGGTCGGACCAGTTCGACGACTCGGACCCCAAGGAGAAAAAACAGATGACCAAATTCTTCAACTGGTTCTTCTTCCTCATCAACCTCGGCTCGCTGCTGGCGGTGACGGTGCTCGTCTACATCCAGGACCACGTGGGCCGGCGCTACGGCTACGGGATCTGCGCCTGCGCCATCTTGACGGCCCTGTTCGTGTTCCTCTCCGGGACCAGGCGGTACCGTTTCAAGCGGCTGGCGGGGAGCCCGCTGACGCAGATCGCGGCGGTGTACGTCGGCGCGTGGAGGAAGAGAGGCCTCGAGCTGCCGTCGGATCCGGCGGCGCTGTATAACGGGGAGGATATTGAGGAAGGGAGCAAGAAGAAGAAGGCTAAGCTCCCCCACAGCAAGCAGTTCAGGTTAGTTCAAAATAAATAAATAAATAAAAACCTTATCCTCTTTCTCTCTCTTATTTATATTTTACCTGCACACGAAATTTTTTGCTAAAATGCAATAATTACGTATGAAAGTTTCACGTTAAAATTTCGAATTTGTTGTCAATATATTATCTACTAATCAATTTGAAAATTATGTTTATTTATCAAAAAAAAATTGAAAATTATGTTTATAAATAAGTATATATAACATAAAATCAGACACTCGTTATTTACAACCGTTGGGATGCATATGATAACTAATTGTTTCAAGGTTATGAATTTGATTTCAACCAAAAAAAAAATGTTATGAATTTGACTACAATGTAGTCCACATGTCTACTTGCCATTTGGTTTTTTGGTAAATTAGTAATGCATTGATTTGTCGTGATGCTGCGATGTGGAAAAATAGGGTATGGTGGGGTTGGCCCTACAAAGGGCTCTTTTTCATCCACAATGTTTGGAAAGAGAGTACGTAGAGTGAAAAATACTTATTTGGAGTTTTCCTATTTGGAGGGTAATCTATATCGGCCCTCCAATCCAATGAAGCTACCTAGACGACTGAAAAAAAAAACATAAACATCACATGTAGATAAAGGAAACATTTCAAACATGAAATCCAAAACCATATGCAGCATCTCCCATAAAATAAAAATGATTTCAAAATCCAAACTTCGAGATGAAGGGATCGGGGCACATTAGATAAGAATCCGTAGGTAAAAGAGATCATCAACAAGTTTGAATCAATTACGTGGGTACGTAGTAAAAGCTTATGAGCATAACTCATCCTAGGTTTTATAAAAAGGTTTATTAAGATTCGTCTAACTTGTATTCTAGATTTCGGGTGTATACAAATAAAATACTCTTATAAAAGAAAATAATAACTAGTTTGTTAATTTTGGAAAAAATAGTGTAAACCTTATGTCAAATCCAAAATTGTGTAAACCTTATGTCAAAGTCAAATATATATCAGCCTTCACATCATAAGATATGTAAATTCAGGTTTTTAATATGAGATTTCAAATTCGAATCTATTAAGTAGTACCTAATAAATAAAAAATTATCACTCTTAAAAAAACACTATAAGATTACATACCCGCTAAAATCGATGGTTTGGTTTGGGTCACTATTTTCCTACAAAACAATATTTCAATTCTACGAATTAATTGATGCTAGTGGATATATGAGGGGCCGGTTCCGGAATCATTGCGGACTTTTTAAATGTTGAGAGTTTTGGACATGGTAATGAATTATGAGAAGAAGACGACCTAGTGCCACGTCAAATTTCAAAACCAAGAAATTTTGGTGAATTAATCGAAATAATAATAATAATATATTGTTCTGTCGGCGGACCCATGAAGCTTCAACTAGGACAAGAAACGACTACTACTACTAGGTTCATATAATTGAGAAGGAGGGAGCTTAATTATTTGGATGGGACGCCTGCCAATGCCATGCCATGTATCTATATTTGCATTTAGTGTAATTAACAAGTTGGGTCAATTTGCTGACTAGCTAAGGATCGCGACCCTCCTTTGGAAACAAAAATATTATATGAAAGAAAATCGCCCCCTTTCTGATCGATCTGTCACCACCACTAATTTCCGAGGAGCTAACTAAGCTGGTGAAGAATATGGATCAATAGCCGGCTTTTCTTCTCTGAATATATATTATTTATACCCCTTGAATTATTGGCGTTTGGCCGCCCAAGAAAAAATGAAGGCGCATGGATCGGAACTCCATCGACAGGCCATGTAAAATTGACAGCCACCAAATAACAACTCGACATATACCATATCAACTCCCCCCTTATCTTTCTTTCTTTCTTTCTTTCGAACCTCGCTCGTGATTTGCTAGCCTAGCTTAGCTGCCGACAGAGCACACGCATCTTTAGGCCGATTGCTTTCATGGCAAAATTGACGATAACTCTGTATGCATAGATATATATAGTTCCACATGGCTTGCTGTAAATGCTCCAAGTAATAACCAGCAGGCATATCATCATCGTCTAGGAAATCACGATGTGGTTATATATATAGGATGAATTGGCCGATGTTCTTGGTTATCCACCTGTTAGAATTTGACAACCAAAGTTAATTATAATTAGGTTGTTTTTTGTGTTGTCGCACTTAGTAATAAGCTAATTATTACTTAATTGTTAGCTTGTGTTTGGTCCAAGTGTCGCTCAGGAACCAAGATAAGCAGCGGCGGATCCAGGACATAGTAGAGCACTGGGCCGCATATCATTAGAAAATTAGATATCGTAAGAAAATCACAATTTATTTTATAATATCAATTGTACACGTCGATTTTTTAAATTTTAATATAGTGAATTCATCAATAATGGAGTTTACATCCACACTAATAACATACTCTCTTTAAAATAAAATAGTTAACCAATTGACGAGAAATTCATAGCTCATTTTGTTGCGCAAATAATTTTTCACACATTTCATTGTTGAAAAGTTTCTCTCCATAGTAGTTGAAACAAGCAATGTCAACATTGGACAAATCAATCGAATATATTGTGTATCAATTCTTATTTTCACCAGCTGCTCTGGTAATTTCTTAAGGGAATAAACCTCATATTTTTTTAGTCTTTTACGTTTTAGAATTTTAGGTTTCATTGTTTGTTTTTCTTTAGATGAGAATCATTGGAGCTAGAATTTTCAGGCTAAATTTAGAGTTGTGATTTGAATATGTTCATCTTACCCATTTTCCTAATTATACACAATTTTATGATAAAATAACACTGGGCCGAATGGCTAAAATCGATAAACTCATAAGAGCTATACTAGCTCCGGATCCAGGGGAGGGCTGGGCCGTGGTCCAAGGTGGCCACCCCCTGGATCCGCCACTGAAGATAAGATATTGCCCAAAATAAATGTCCAAACTTGGTTCGTCTGTGCCTTTGATTAGTCGTCCAAGGGGATCGAATAGAGAAAGGTCGCCCCGATGCCCGCTCCGCTCCGCTCGGGACCAACAGGAGATTCCTTTTGTCTAGTTTTAGTTAGGTTTTGCAGTCAAGAAAGACTGACCAGAGAGGTATAGTCTATAGACAGCCTTTGGTTAGATTGAGACTATCGACCAAACTAATTAACCCTTGGCCGAGTCACGAGTAACTTCTGGTTTCCGCGCCCAACCTTCTCTCTTCCTTCCATTATTACTTTCCTACTTCCTACCACCAACCCAAAACCTCCCTCCCGCCCAAGGTGGTTTGGTAACATTGCCCCTGGTTTCTCTCCAAATCAACCCTACTAGCTAGCTAGCTAATTGTCTAGATCCTTGGAACCAACCATCCATGTCGACATCTTCTCAATTGTGCTTAGCAAAAGACCAGACTTAAATTAACGTCCGAAGTTGTGTTTCTTTTCTCGGGGTTTTTTTTCTCTTTCTTTTGTTTCAAAACCTAGCTACAATCTACAAATAGAACACAGTACGATGAGGAAAAAAAATAAATAGCGAGTTCACGAGAACTTAATCCCACACTCCAAAACATAATTTACAGAATTGTTAGTTTATTTACAAGCACGAGGAGACAGAAGCGTCACATGATCTACAATTTTATCCAAGTTAGTTACATGATATTTCAGTTACTACCCTAGTTGGAATCTTAAAGAAAAAAAGTTCCTAACTATATTTAGTAATACATAAAATAAAATACGATGTTATATATATTTAACAATTATATATTCGTCCTTTATGGCCACCATGTGTACAGGTTTCTGGACAGGGCAGCAATCAAGGACACGGACTCCACCGCCACGTCAGCAAACAAGTGGAATCTCTCAACCCTAACCGACGTGGAGGAGGTGAAAATGGTGATCCGAATGCTCCCAATCTGGGCCACCACCATCATCTTCTGGACCGTGTACGCCCAGATGACCACCTTCTCCGTCTCCCAGGCCACCACCATGGACCGCCGCATCGGCTCCTTCGAGATCCCCGCCGCCTCCCTCACCGTCTTCTTCGTCGGCAGCATCCTCCTCACCGTCCCCGTCTACGACCGCGCCATCGTGCCCCTCGCCCGCCGCCTCCTCCGCAACCCGCAGGGGCTCACCCCGCTCCAGCGCATCGGTGTGGGCCTGGTCTTCTCCATCGTCGCCATGGTCCTCGCGGCCCTGACCGAGCTCAAGCGGATCCGGACGGCCCAGGCCCACGGCCTGCTCGACCAGCCCAACGCCACGGTCCCGCTCAGCGTCTTCTGGCTGGTCCCGCAGTTTTTCTTCGTGGGGTCGGGGGAGGCGTTTACGTACATCGGCCAGCTGGATTTTTTCCTGAGGGAGTGTCCCAAAGGGATGAAGACCATGAGCACCGGTTTGTTTTTGAGCACGCTGTCGCTGGGCTTCTTCATGAGCTCGTCGTTGGTGTCGATTGTGCACAAGGTGACGATCAAGAGCCCGTGGCTGGCGGATAATATGAACCGAGGGAGGCTGTTCGATTTCTACTGGCTGCTGGCGATATTGAGCGGGTTGAATCTGTTGATGTATTTGGTTTGCGCGAGGTGGTATGTGTACAAGGAGAAGAGGATGGCGGAGGAAGGGTTCGAGATGGAGGATATGGACGATGAGCCCGTTATGCATTGACGTGGCCCGTGGGGGAAAAAAAATGAAGTATACTTGGTTTTGGGCTCGATCAATTTGGGCCGTAACTTTTCGGGGGGGTTTTTTTTTTGGGTTTTGGGTTTGGGGGCGGAGGGTGTGGGCCGTGGGGTTTCTGTATGTAGATTATATAGCTTTGTAGGGCCTTTTACTTTGGCCTCTCTCTCTCTTCCCTTTATTTTGACCTCCTAAATAAGGTTTGGAAGATTTCGATGTTGTACAGAAAAAGGAAAATGATCATGTTCCTTGAATGATCATGACAATGTTAGTGCGTGTTGGTCAGTCACTACTTGTATAAGTTGCGAAAGTTTCACGGTTAAATGTTTGTGTCTCCATTATGGTACCCTATCCTCCAATTATGTCTATACAAATTTTTATCAAATTCAAAACTTGGAATTGGTATTTGGAATTCGATGGAAAGATTGTAGATAGAACTCGACAAATGCAGTTTCGTGCAAACAATAAACCAAACATGGAATTTTAGAGAAAATGATTTAGTGTCAATGTAAGCGGACCTAGTAACTTGTCAAGAGAGAAGGTAAAATTATATCATGGGAGATTAGGAATTATGGTGGAAGTTTTTTTTGGGTAATTGACATAAATGGTCACACAACTTATCACTTTGTACAAAACGGTCACAAACCTTTAATTTTGCACGATTTAGTAATACATGTTTAAACTTATAACAAAATGGTCATTTCCGTCAATCTCCATCCAAAAACCCTAACAGAATGCTGATGTGGTTGCTGACTCAACTTCCCAATCAGCAAAATATTAGTAAATATTTTTTCATAATTTATTTCTATTATTTTCCCGCCGGTAACCTCTTATTCCTCCGTTTCTCCTTGCTTTCTCACCCGACGAGTGCTCTCAAAGCCGAGAAATCTATGGAAGATGTTTGGCAGGGCATCAATTTGGTTCGATCAAGCAACCGACGCACCCGCCAAGTTCACCCGATTCTGCCGCCCGATCTTCTTTCGTCTTACACTTCGGAATCCTCTTTGTCGTCGAAGATTTGAACCTAGAACCCACCAGAACCCAATTATCCGCATCCTCTGCTTTCCCTTGTCTTTTCCAGCATCGACCCTAGTTCAATGATTGAAAACTCCAAGTCTCTCCTTTGGTTTCCCCCTTCCATTTGTTCCCCGATAGCGGCGTCGGAGAGCAGGGGAAGACAATGAAATCGAGTCTCCTTGCGTTATCGGATTTGGGTAGGCTTCTTCTGCCTGAGACATTGTAATCATGCTGGTGGAATTCGGATGGTCGCTTGTTTTCTTGCGGAAACTCAAACAAAAGGAGCAAATGAGTCTTTTGGTTAGAACGGGATCAGAGGAGGATTTGAGGGGATTAGAAGAATGGAAGGGATAATTTTTTTTTGTTTGTTGAATATGAAGGTATATTTAGTTTTCTTTATAAATTGAATTACTACAATAATTCAAAATAATAGAAATAAATTATTAAACAATATTATATTAATATTTTGCTGATTGGGAAGTTGAGTCAGCAACCACATCAGCATTCTGTTAGGGTTTTGGATGGAGATTGACGAAAATGACCGTTTTGTTATAAGTTTAAACATGTATTACCATATCGTGCAAAATTAATGACTTGTGACAGTTTTGTACAAAGTAATAAGTTGTGTGACCATTTATGTTAACTACCCTTTTTTTTTATACCTAAGAATACAAGATTTTGATCCCGAGACCAATATGGGCATAAGGAATCTGAGGAGGGGCATGCAGTAACATAACATCTCCTCTGCAATATTGTTATGGTGGAGGAAGAACTTGGAATGAGAGGAGCTTATTTGAACTACACTGAATTGAGGGGACTAAAAGGAAGTAAAAGTCGGAATGAGAAGAGCTTATTTGAACTATGCTGAATTGGAGAGGGGACTAAAATCCGATCGACTCATCTATTGAGATAGTAGGTCAATCGAAATCAGGAGTGCTAAGCTGCAGGTCCGGAAAGAAAAATGAAACTCTTTGATGGGGAATAAGGATTACCCCATCACCTTTCCTTTTTACTCTTTTTTTTTTCCTTCATTTTATTGCTGACAAACTAAGTACAAATAAATATGTAAATAAATAAAATTATCATATCAGCCCGGTTGGCTTCTTCTTGTACGTCGGAGTTTTTACATGAAGCTGTAACAAATTGGGATGGCTAACAGACTAGCAGCAGCAGCAAAAGGCCAGGGCTCACATTCACAGCAGAAAATTTTTCAAGGGCTCTTGTGACTTCACTTATCCTACCCCGAAGTGCACATTATACATTGCAATCTCACTACTCCCACCCCAAAATCTTCATCAAGAAAAACTTCGTTTACCACTCTTTCCTGCAACCAGAATTCTGGTCAGTAAGCTGCGTGAGCCGCTGCTGCTGCCTGCTGGTGGGTTGATCTCTAGTCTTGAGAATAATGCATTACCTACATTATTCTTTGTTGTCCAGAAAAAAAATTTACTTGGATTCGGAGAGCTCGTCACTGAACTCTCCAAATATGTCCGGGCATTCGTTCCAGTTTCCGCGATCTCGTGCTTCCCAGTATCCACCCTTGTACCGGAAAGGTCCATTCTCGCCTTCTCGCTCGAACCACTTCGGTTTCCACCCATGTTCTTGCAGCTTTCTCGACTGCATGGGATAGTTCCAAAATAAAAAATCAATTGACTCAAAGCTCAATCAAATACCAAACCATTTCTGTTTTTCGCTTCTACTAAAACTAGATGAAGGAGTTGGCTTATTTGTTAGCATAGGAAATACCATTCTTTGCCTCTTCTCCAGCCGCTGTTTCTCCACGTTGGCCTTGTCGTACTCACCGTTCTCCAGATGCCTCTGGTCTGGTCTCAGCCTCGAATCTGTTGGAGGGAGCTTCTCCTGTTATTAATCCGCAACCAAATAACCCGACATCAGAGACAGGCTAATATAAATGACAATTAGAGGTATGCATATACAAGAGGGGAGGAAATGGGAGTTACTGGCTAGAGACTACAAACATCAACACACTACTGTCATTCTCTTTACCTTCAGTCCTGGTGTCAATTCATTCAGGGTTATGGCAAACGATGTTAAGTTGTATCGAGTGAGATTTGGAACTGGCTTTGTACTCTTCCATAGTAAGTTAGCATTTGACGAAGGGTTGTTCCTCGATTTTGATTGACCATCACCGAGAGTATAGTACATGCTGTCGTCCCATTTCCCAAACACGGTGGCCACCTTTTTCCCAGAGAGGTCTTCTACAAACCCATTAACCTATGTAGGGTTGATGAGCACCCGTCATCAGTATGAGCCAGTAATCAATCTTTCCAGTCAAATAAGGCAACACGCAGAAATTATCTTCATTGATAGAGATTCTAACCTGATGAGGATTTCTGTCTAGGATTGATTGCTCTTTAAACTTCAATTTGCAAGAATAGTCGCGATTTCCCGTTATATTCATCATCCCATGGTGATCACAATACACTTTGCCCAGAATGAGATTACGAATTGCGGTTGTGACCTGCAAAATAATGCAACCAAGGATCGTAAGCTTCTAGTATGAGACAAAAGAGCTGACACAAAGGTGAATGACGATCAAAAGAAACCAGAGGTCAGACCTTGCTCCACTGGAATATTTCACCATCATCAAACTCGAGGGTCAGAGCCCCAACCGGATCAAGTTGAATGGACTGCCCCCAGAATTTGGTGTGCAAGTCGCTGTCTGCCCAAAATTTCCACCCTCTACCTTCACAATGGCAGGCAATGAGAGTTGGATGATGACTAACCTGTGTTTCAACTCAAAATATCACACTCGTATTCCTTTGTATTAAGGTTTAACATCTATTAAATCCGCTATTATAAAGTCATTCACTGCCTAAGGTCATATTGTACCATAGGAAAGCTTCACGCCAAAACAACTTTTTCTTTTTTATTTTAAAAAGAAATCTAAATGAAAAATTGAAGCATGGACAGAGATGATCATTAACAAAATGCACAAATGAATGACGAATCACCAACCTTCTCGGAGAAGAAGCGAACTCCCTTGTCCGGAAAGTCAGCTTCATATGTTTCTCCTAGCAGAGGATTAAAAGGCTTGCAATGCCGCCCCTCAGAGGAAGCATAGCCAGACACGGCAAATGCAGCTACATGTAAAATCCTCAGCAGGCTGTTGCCCTGTTTCATCCAAACCCCAAATATAATAAGAGATAATGGGACAAAACACAAATATGAAAAGCATAAACTTTTTCCAAAAATCTCACCGCTCTTCCATACTCATAGGCTCGGTCCAAGAGATAAGAGTACTCCAAATCCTCAAAGCATTTCTGAAGTGACGATATTGGTTCGTTAAAGTAAACAGGGAGGCAAACACGGGTGAGATCCTTGCCAACATTGTCCTTGATCATTGACCAAAGGCTGACCCCTTTCTCTTTTTCAACTGGGGTAGGAAGCTTTTGCCTCCTTTGGATGTGCGGATATTCCGGATCAAATACCGAGTGCATTCTATCCTCTTCACTATCGAGTTGATTGGATGTTTTATCCTTCCCGGAGTGACCTGGAACTTGGACTATAGACCCATCGGTGAAACAATCTTTACTGTCGTGAAAAGAGAGCTCCTCCTCATCCGAAACTTCCTCCAGGTCTTGCTTCTCGATATCATCAGATGATTCGGTCGTGCTACATTCTGGAAAAGCAATACCAAGTCATGGGAAAATATGAGAATGCAAAAGAGCCAGATACAAAGGAAAGCCAATTTCCTCGTGCATAAACCAAGTACAAGCAGTAATTTATATTTGTCAATTACCACTGTATTTTCCACGTCCTAAAGTTGACAAATCATGCTTGGCCAACTGATAGTCACCATCTTGAATTCCAGAGACTTCAATTTCTATATTGGAAGCCTGCAAAAGGCCGAAGAAATGCTTTCAAGACTAATCCACGTAAATTCCAAATGCTGAATAGAAAACCAATTAACAAAGCGCTAAATCTTGTGGGTATGGTCACCCGAGATATCTATAGGACCCATAAGATACCCGGTGAAGACAATCGATACTAACACCGCAACAAGATATATTCTAGACAGCCATCGTATCATAAATTATCTACTAATGTGAGGTTCATATGAGGATTGGGTTATCCATTGGACTGGAATGATGTCATTCTTGAAGTAAGAGCAAAGGAAACAATCTTGAAAAGCAAACACGTTTCAGTAGGAAAGAAAACCACTTTAAGCTCAGTCAAGGTGGCGTAAGTTTCGGTGCAAGTCATAAGAGAGTACAAGACGAGCAAATTAATAAAATCCCCCTTCAGAACCTGTTGAAGATCTCAAATGGTAAGATCTTAAGCCAAGTCCCCACTAGTCCACACGCTCATAAGGAAAGCCGAGCTGAAATTCGGCAATGCCAATAGTGAGATGAGTAAACGACTTACCTCCAGTTGCCTTAGAGTGTCTACCAAACTGTTCCGTTCTTCGCATACAACTTTAAGCTGAGCTTGTAACTCGGAGAATTCCGTTAGCATGATCTGCTCACAGTCATTAACGAGGCTGTCATTGATCCCTTCTTCAGTCAACCGCCTCTTTAGCTTCTCAGTCGAGACAGACAAATCCTTTGGCACCCTGTGTGAGAGGCCATCTTTGAGTGACCTCGATGGGAAAAGATTCCTAGCAGAGACCAAAGCTTGGATCCAAGCTGCCCTGTCCCTCTTCGAATCAGTTCTCAAGTGAAGCGTCTTCGTCGCTGTAAAAATGTAAAATCTCCGGTCATCGGACTTGCTCTCTCGGAATGACGAGATCTGCTACAAGAAACAAAAGGCACCCACTTCAGAAGGCTCTACCAGAGTTGAATCAAAGACACCCACAACTTGGATTTCGGGGAATCAATGGTACTGGATGTTTTGAGCAGCAGATCAAAGAAAGTGAAAGAAAACCCAGAAGTAAAGGCCGTCACTTTGGAACCCCATATGTGGTTTCGAAGTGGAGGTGGACGATAACTACTAAGGATCTGGCACTTGACAGAAGAATATCCATGGAAGACCAGACAAAAAAATTAAAGGGGGGAAATGAAATAAAATACTGTCATCTCCTAATCTCCAAAACTGTTCCTATTATCTCACACAATTCTTAAAAGGCAGAAGAACGAAAGAACCGTTCTCCCAACCTCCAAAACTATAAAGACTCATGTCCTGACGTGTCGATGTCCCCACAGCCGAGGCTAAAAGAAAAACCCAAAAAGAAAAGAAAACACTGTAGCCGAAAACAACAAGAAGATATGGCAAAAGGAAGCAGGAAGCTTTTCAAAGCAAAACAACAAAAGAAAGCTAGAAGCTTTGAAGCAGAAAAGCAAAGGCGAGCTGAGCTGGTATAGTAGTTACTAGTAGTAGGCTGCTATCCAACTTACCACTCTCACATCAAACTTCACCTAGGCCACGAGTCAAAAACGAAAAAAGAACTATAACGGCCACCAAGTTTACGGTTGAAGAAGAAGAAGGAAACAAACTATGCAAGCTGCAGAAGCAGCAGCTAGAAATGAAGAACAGTTGAATATTAGAGAGAACATCATGAGCTGAAGATCATAGAAGTGGTGGATGTGAGGAAGGGGAACGAGAACAAAAGATCGAAAAATCTGAGCTCAGAAACAAGATGATGCGAGCACAACTCACCTCTTAGACCTACAACAACGTACCTTATCATATCATAGCTCCTCCCCCACTCTCCACTCCTCCCAAAAAAACAAAAACCCACCTGCTGATGTGACCCACTATTGATTAACAACCAGTTAAAGCTGTAAAAAGGGCAGCAGAAACCCGGGGAAAGAGAAAAAAAGAGAGAAGGAAAATACACAGGCTATATACAGTCCACAGAGCTTCCCACTGTCCACCAAAAGGGTAGATGGGGTTGCAGTTAGCAGTAAAGAAAACAACAAAACAAAGTATTAGGGAGAGGAGGAGGAGAGAAAAAGAAACCAAAAACCCTCTCCTTTTATGGCCACCTGCCCCCATCTCCTCCAAAAGATTGGACAATGCAAGTAACCTTTGGTTAATACCCACCAAGCATAACTTCTCTCACTCTTTCTGCATTCTCATTTCCCCTTTTGCTTCTCGGATATCCATGGCGATTAGATATGAAAAAAGCTGTTTGTTTGCTAGCATTGGGGGATCAATCATGCCAGAGAAACAACTTTGACCAAATTGGTTCATAACCAGATTAATTGCTTTTGAATCAAATCCTTTCCCCAATTGGCAAATTTCTCCTGCTACTACCGCCAAACAAGAAGGGGGGAAAAACGCTAGGTCTAGTGAATGAAGACAGATTAACATTGATTCAATGCCTTCCTTAATCGCGATTAGAGAAAAATTTACCTTGAGATGAACAATGCCAACGGTTTTCTTCTCCTGCTTCCTTCGGCTGGAGCTGACGCTATCCATCCTCTGCAATCGATTGGTGGAAATCGCGCCAATCAATTGCACGTCCTCGTTCAACGCCAGCAGATTCAGATTCTCCGGCCGGCGAATCTTGGAGTAGGACAGCACGCCATTCTTCAGCAAGAACCACCGCGATCTCCACCCTTTCCCGTAATTGGTCCACTTGTGCAGCACTCCAGCCACCGTCGCGGTCGAACCCGCGGGGTCCTCCGATCCGGTGTGATTCGACCGACACAGAAGGCCCGCCGGCAGGGATCTCGCCCGCGTCAACGCCAACGAAGTCGAAATCTCCGGCGACTGGTCGCCCAGTCCAGGGCTCTCGAGCGAGATGCAGCAGAGTGGGTGCATTTCCTTCACCCTCATTTTTACTATTTCTCTTTTGGGTCTCGGATCAGAAGACAAACCCAAAAACTGCCTATCAGTTCTCCATGGAAAAATAATGCCGGGCTCGCGGCGAGAGGCCCAGGAGAGAAGCGGAGCTTTTCTGGGTTTCTGTGGAAAAGTTGGAAGAGTGCGAGGGAAGCGAGAGAAAGTAAGAGAGAGATGGGGAGGTAAAGCTCTGAAACTGAGAGGGGGGAATCGGGAAGAGAAAATGGGGAGGGAGGAAGGGGGGAATTGTTTTATTTGTTTATGAGTTGGTTTGATTGTTTGAGGTTTTTAATCCTGTGGATTAAAAAAAAAAATAAAGGGGGAAGAAATATCGAGAGGTCAGCAATGGCGGAATGGTGAAGGTTGTGTATTTATATACACACGGAGCAGAGTGAGAGGGACAGAAAGAAAGAGAGCGCAACGGCGAGACGTCAGTGAAGGAGAAGCGTCTTTGTGACGTGAAACGATGCCGTACAGGGGAGGGGAATTAAATGGGAGATCAAATAAAAACATAAAGCAAAAAGGTAGTGATGGAATCATAAATTTGGCCAGTTGAGTAAAATGGTAAAATACAAAGGCAAAGTTAGGAAGGGCAATGCTATCAAACCATTTCCCTTGCTACCAAAACAAAAAAATAAAATAAGAAGGGCAATGCTGTCATACGGTTGTGATGATTTAGCAAGTGAAATGGTTTGATAAATGTTATAATTTGTTTGTGTCGTTTTATGTAGCTTTATCAAAGCACGTAAAATGTGAAAATTCATTAATATTAAATAAATTTAATTATATGTAAAAATATACTTAATATTCATATTTAAATAAAATACAACATTTCAAAATGAAATAGCAATTATATTTAAATACAACCACTTAACATCTATATCTAAACGCTTATACTTGAACTATCAAATAACATCAACGTTTAATTTTTAAATTTATAAAAAAATGAAATTTTTTTATCAATTAAATTCATTAAAACTATGTCATTTTGCTTAGATATCGTAAATCAATCATACTGGTCATACTGGGAATGTACATGTCGATTTCATGACAATTACGGACTTATGGTTGAACGGTTCGACATTCCACCGACATGACAACCATGATTTAGGGTGTGTTTGTTGTAAATGTTCTTAACTTTGCAAATGTTTTGTGCAACTTGAGAAAATATATGGTTTGGAAAAGTTTAGAGAAAGCAAAATTAATAAAACGAAACACTTTTTTACAAACAGAAAAGTAGTTAATGAAAACGTGAATACTTTGTTGAATAGTAAACTTGAATTTTGAAAAAATGATTGTTGAAGATATAGCCTAAAAATATTTATTTTCCTTATGTTGTAAAATGAAAACTTTTAGATTATAAAATAAAAGTGAAAGCTTTTATGTAAAATGAATTTATATTTAACTATTTTGTAGATTTTAGAAAAATAGTTGTTTTTACTGAAAGTTTAATAACATATTAATAGTGTTTTATTTTGACAAAAACTTGAATTTTTTTCAAAATTAAAGTGAAAACAAACACATAATTTATTCTTTCCGACCCCTCGATTTTGCGTATGTATAAAAATATCAAATGATGTACTCTAGTGTAATTAGGGCTGCAAATGAGCCGAGTCGAGTTTTACCCCAGTTTGAGCTCGGCTCGTTAATAAACGAGTCGAGTTTGAGCTCAGCTTGTTTATTAACGAGCCGAGTCGAGTCGAGTTCAAGCTAACTTGTTTACTAAAATCTTGACTATTATTTGGCACTTCATTTTGTATATCATTATACAAATAATTTATATTGTTAGCTAATCTCATATTCTACTTTGTTGGTGTCATATATCATTTAGTTAATAAATTTTAACTACTCAAAAGCTTGTTATTTCATAGTATCGAAGCAATCATACATAATTTCTTTTTAAAGTATAAACTAAGATATATTTTCTCACATACTCAATGTGTTAAACTTTATATATGGTGAGATATATAATTTAACAGACATTTTAATTAAAATCATAAGATATAGATTGATTCGTCCATAAGTCGGTAATCGAGTTGGCTCTCTAGCTACATGTTGAGACATATCATGAGCTGTAAACGAGCCAGCTCACGAGTTTAGCTCAACAAGCCATCGAGTCGAGCTAGCTCGCGAGCTTCACAAGCTGAGCAAAGCTGAGCTCATGTTCGACTCATTTATTAACGAGCCGAGTTTTGAACGAGCCTTTCTCGAGTCGAACACCGAGCCGCTCGCGAGCAGCTCGGCTCATTTGCAGACCTAAGTGTAATATTTTAATATAGTGTATTAATTACTAGGCGAAGAATGACCTTGTCCTTGGTGCAATAGTATTATTCTTGGTTTTCACATGCCTCCATTATATTCAGTTGTGAGTTGTAACCGTCGCCTAGCTAGTTGTAATCAAGAGTCAATGCAGCTGCCTGCCTAACAAAGCCATTTGATTAAATGCTTGCCAGCTTAAATATCTGAAACAGGTAGGCTAACGTTTTTAATGTGATTAGTTCACAAGATTCATAAGTTTTATGACCTCTCAACAATATTTATTAATTAGTTTAATATATTTAAGATTTCCAAATTGGCCAAAATACGATTTTGTTCCAACCCAAGTCAAATACTTTGGTCTGGTTGAAAATAATATGTAATCCTTGGGGTGAGTTTCCCCCCAACTCAACAAAAAAAATTATTTTTATTTGTAGTGTTTGGTATAATAACTTATAAGTGTGCATAACCCAATCAATTATGTGCCACAAACATACAAATATGCAACTTAGAAGTTTTTCACTCTCGAGAGAGATGAGAGAGAAATCCAGAGAGAGAAAGAATAGGAGAGCCCGCTCCCGGCGGGGAACGAAGCGTCACCGACCGTCGATGGTCAGCGCTGGGATTGGGGAGAGCGATTTTTGTGTTTCTTCTTCTGTTCGCAGGTACCGTCCATCAGGGAGTGGTTGCAGTGGTCGATCGTCCGAAGATTGCAGACTTCAGAGCCAGATGGGACCCAAGATCGTGTCAATCTCCAGGAACAGTGTGGGGGTGTCAGTGTGGTACAGAATTTCTACCGAGGAAGATGGGAAGAAACGGTTTGTCGTGCTCGATGCTACGCAGATATCATGGTTACAAGGGGTACTTCAGACTGCAGCGATGAGGGGCTGGTCATTTCCATCGGGCTGCGTGTTGAGGAGCAGTGCACGGACCATCCACGTCGGAAGGCTCAGTAATCTACTGGAATTCCTGCTACAGATTTCTGAGAGGGTCCAAAGTGGAAAAATCTTCAAAGTTCTCATCCCGTCGACAAGTAACAGTCCCTCCTGGGCAAGATTAACAGCCCTGCTCCAAGACTTCTACCAAACCGAGCAGTCTTTTCGTAACAGGGAGCTCGGGATACCAGTAGCTCACGGTGGTATCCCCCCTGCCCCGCTCCAACCGCCAATCTCAAGATCATACGCAGATGTTGTCAGAGGAGCTGGATTCTACGGGGGTGGCAAGTGTGGAATCAAAAGCGGGGATGAAGGGATGTTCATAGAAGTGGGTGACGAAGGAGTTCGAGACAGACGCAACCTCCTAGGAAGAAGCCTCATCATAAAATTCTCACCAAACCAGCAAGAGGTCTTCACTAAAGACTTAATCAACGACTTCTGGAGGTGGGCAGAGAGAAGGTGGGTGATCAACAACAATTTTTCAATCGAAGACTTAGGAGAGGGAAGATGGTTGCTGGTTTGTCCGAGCCTCCAGGAAGCTCAGAGAATTATCAAATGGAACAAAACCAAATTCCGATCGTTTACCGTTCTCCTATCGAATTGGATGGATTCCGAATATGGCCAACTCCATGGGCAAGATGTTTGGCTCACAGTGTACGGCATCCCCCTACACCTCAAAAGCATATGTCTTATCAAAACTATCGGAGAATTCTGCGGTTCGCTCATCGAAATAGATTGGAATTCTTGGAGCTATCCTTTCATTCGCATCAGGGTCATCTCTGATAATCCCATTCCAACCCAGATTCCGATCATGTTCAAGACACAAAGGTTCACAATTACAGTGCACACACCGCCGCCCCAGAGCCTGGAGGGCCACCGCTCCGGCAACGGGCAACAACCATCACAGCTGGAAAGCAACAACCTCGAGACTCGCAAGGCTAGACACCATTTCAATTTTTCCCGGAAGACTAAGGGTCGCTACTCAGGCGGCGTGCAGTGTAACGTATCCATTGAGTGCATGGAAGGTCAACCATGTGGCCAATTAACGGAAGCTTCGACGGAACAGGCCATATCCCGGACCAAGACTCTCAAGCGGATCTGGATTCGCAAAGAGGGCCCACTACCCAACCCCCTCGCCCGTTTTAAACCCAACCCAATCATTCCCTTTGAACCCGCTGTGCAAACCTCATTAACCCAGCCCACCATCCAAAACTCCCTCGAGCCCATTACCGCCCCTTGCCTTCTCCGCTTTATTGGGCTATTCACTCCTATCCGCGTCCATCTTCACCACCCAACCTTTACTCTCTTGTCAACCTTATCCATCCCATATGATATCCCAAAAACTGATCACCTATCCCCCTTTACCACAGTCATTCGCACACCCTCAACACCAGCCTTGCCCCAAACCCGACCTAGACCAAGGATCATTGACTTAGACGATCCCCTACCCCAATCCAACTCACCTGTATCCTTGAACACAGATCCCTCAACCACATCACCTACTTTTTTCGACCAGTCTTTTTCTTACGTGCCGGAGACACCCCAATCCCCTACCCAAACTCCCGCAATCCTTACCCCTTCCGTCGACACGCTGTCGTCACCGTCCTGTTGCTCCTATTCCAATGCCCGCAATTGGGATCAGGAGGCATACCCCTTTGATTTGGACACTCTCACCACCACCAGCCTTGCCTTAGCCAACCTGTTCACCTTAGATCATATTGAGGGAGAAAGTCAACCGGCCAACTTGGTTGCGGAGAAAGCCAGGGATACTCACCGAAGGAAAGTGCGTAGCAGCAGAACAAAGCTCGAGATGGAAAAGCACCGCCTTGGTCCATCGATTCCTGAAAACCTCGAGCCACGACGCAATAGAAGGCGGAAGGAAAGGAACACCACCTATCTCGAAGACTAATGGAAACATCCATAATTGTGTGGAACGTCAGAGGCCTTGGCGAAGCCAGCAAGCGGGGAAGAATTAAGCGCATCATCAACAGACGCAAACCAACAATAGTCGGTCTAATTGAAACAAAGTGGGACAAATGCGACATCGCCACCATTGGAAGCATCAGTGGAACCAGGAACGTAGGATGGGTTGCCAAAGATGCCATTAACAGTGCGGGTGGAATTGCTATATATTGGGACCAGAATCACTTCAGAGCCGCTAACAGCTATGCGAGCACTTTCTTCCTCGCGGTGGACCTTGTCGACACCAAGTCCAATAAGGAGTGGACGTTGGTGGTGGTTTATGGCCCTCAAAACAGGAACGACAAGCTTGCCTTCTTGGACGATTTGAGCAGTCTGTGCCAGCAGGTCACCTCCCCTGCTTGCATCATTGGGGACTTCAACATGGTTTGTTCCCATGATGACTATAAGGGTGCTCGACGAGATGCGAGCATCATGACAGCTTTCAACAACTTTGTGGACAGCAACGGCCTTTTGGAAATGCCGTTGGGGGGCAGTCATTTTACATGGAGCAGGGGTGGATCCAACGAGTGTTTTTCACGTATCGACCGTGCCCTCATCTCGGCGGACTTTGACGTCATCTACCCGGATTGCCATCTTACCGCCCTCGAGAGAATTGAATCCGACCAAAACCCCCTCATGCTCAAATGGGGTAGTCAATCCCGCCTCAAACGACCATGGAGGTTCGAGAACATGTGGCTCGAAGATGAAAGGTTCTTCATGGGGATGAATCAGTGGTTTCAGGATCCGATTCAAGGCCAGGGGATGATATTCATCTGGGCGCGACGCCTCCAACACCTCAAGAACAGAATCAAGTCTTGGAATAAGGAGGTCTTTGGAGATATCAACGTCAAGATCGATGAGCTCATCACTAAGATTTCGGACATCGACAAAGTTGAAGAGTCTCACCCTATTGACGACAACTTGAGAGCGACCAGAGACATCTCCAGAATTGAATTAGGAAGTCTTCTTAATCTGCTAGAGATCTCTTGGAGGCAAAAATCACGCGAGTGCTGGCTCAAACTTGGCGACAAAAACAACAATTTTTTTCACAGAATGGCCAATTTCAGGAGGAAGATCAATAGAATTGACTGCATCAGAATCAGTGGAGTGTTGGTATAGGGAAAGCAGGATGTTGCGGCGGGATTGGTTAATCACTATAGGAATCTCTTCCTTGAAGAATCTGCGATACGGCCCTTCCCCAGACAGTATGTTGAGCGTCGTATTTCGAACAATGATTGTCAGCTTCTCACCCGACAGTTCAGTGAGCAGGAAATCTGGGTGTGCCTTTCGGATTGCGATGCCAGCAAGGCACCAGGGCCTGATGGATTCACTTGGGAGTTCTTCAAACGAGGTTGGAATTGGATCAAGAATGACATCATAAGCGCCTTCAATGAATTCCATTCTACTGGAGTCCTGCCTCAAAGTGTCACTCATTCATTCCTCTGCTTACTCTCCAAAAGAGATGTTGTCGAAGACCCAAAAGATTTGCGACCGATTAGCCTGATGGGCTGTATCAACAAGCTCTTCAGCAAAGTCCTAGCCAGCAGAATGCGGGATGTCCTACCCAATATTGTTTCCGCAAATCAACAGGCGTCGGTTAAGGGGAGACAGGTTGGCGATGCCGGCCTCATTGCATTCGAGCTTATTGACAGCAGAAAGAAAAGCAGAAAACCGGGTTTGATGCTCAAGCTGGACATCGAGAAGGCATTCGATAATGTGAGTTGGGACAGTTTGTTCAAAGTTCTCTCCAAACTCGGGTTTCCTCCGCAGTGGATTAATTGGATTAAGGGTACGATGTGTTCTCCTCTTTATTCTATTCTCATCAATGGGGAATCCCATGGATTTTTCCCTATGCACAAAGGACTCCGCCAAGGCGATCCACTATCTTCAGGTCTCTTCTCTCTGGTTATGGATGTCCTTGACTATATGATCAACAAGCTTAAAGAGGACGGAAGAATTAAAGGATTTTTCATGGATGAACAAGGGGGACGCGGAGAGGTGACTCACCTCCTATTTGCAGACGACACTTTGATCTTTTGCGAAGCTTCTTACGAACAAGTACTGAATGTGTTGTCTACACTCGTTTGCTTCGAAGCAGTTACCGGACTCAGGATCAACCATGAGAAATCTGTGATGTTCACAGTGGGAGACGTTACAAACCCGGATTTTTTTGCATCGCTGCTCGGGTGCAGATGGAGTGACCAGCCATCCAAATATCTCGGTTTTCCGCTCGGGGCTAGATTAAACGCTGCATCCACGTGGGAACCCATCATCCAGAAATACAGGGACAGGCTACAAGGATGGAAGAGTCGGTTTCTTTCATTAGGAGGCAGACTCGTCTTGAATCAAGCAGTGTTGTCGAGCCAATCTGTCTACTACTTTTCAATTCTTAAAGCTCCAAAGACGGTCATTAAAACTATGGAGAACATTCAAAAAAGGTTTATATGGAGCGGAACCTCAGAAGAAAGAAAGAGCCCATTGGTCAGCTGGGATTTGTGCAAGGCTCCTAAATCCAGAGGCGGGTTGGGAATCTTCGACCTTGCGAGCTTCAACAGCGCCATGCTCTCTAAATGGCATTGGCGTTTCGCCACGGAGACCAACAGATGGTGGAGAGAACTTATCAACATTAAATATCCGAACCCTCTCTCCTGTTGGCATACTGGTAAGGTCGATGGGGGTTTTGCCAATTCGGTGTGGGCGAACATTATGAAAGAGCACAGCAGATTCTGGAATTTTGCCTGCATTGACCCCGGTAGCGGAGCTTGGACCTCTTTCTGGCACGAACGTTGCCACGTTGGATCCTGAAGCCTCTTTGTCTGAATCTTTCCCTCGCATCGCCGCCGCAACCAGTAATCCTGATGCTACGGTTTCCAGCAGCAGAGTCTATTCAGGAAGTGAGTACAATTGGGTAATTCCATTAAACTATTCTCTGAGAGGGGGGGGGGGCTAACCGGGAGCGGGCTGATTTACTTTTTTTTCTTGAGACTAACGCCGCTTCAAGGCTGTCCAGCGGTCCTAGCAGACTTGTCTGGCTACCTTGCGCGGATCATCCCTTTTCCGTGCGTTCCATGTACAGGGCTTTAACGAAAGATCAGTTCCCGGGCATCATCAACTTCCCCGCCAAGGCCATTTGGAAACCGATCATCCCATCAAAAATACGTACCTTCATCTGGCTGGCTTACCTCGAGAAGAATCTAACCCTCGACATCATTAAAAGAAGAGGTCGAAATTTGGCCAATAGGTGCGAACTCTGCAGGCAAGAAGAAGAGACGGTGGTTCACATCTTCTTTCATTGCGAGTTCAGCAAGGAGGTCTGGTATAGAAGTCAAGTGCTATGTCCGAGTATTGAGTCACCTGGAGATGATGTTCAATCTTCCATCAATAGTTGGAAATCTGACATACCGGATGACTTTGAAGGATGGATCAATTACGGTGCTCTACATGCCATCCTCTGGCAGCTGTGGCTCGAGCGCAACAAAAGAATTTTCCAAGACAGACTCCTCAACCCCGATGTCTATCTCCCTCAAAGCGATCAGGTCGATGGTCGAGTGGCCCATTGCTATGGGTAAAGCGTCTAAAGCTGATGGGAGGGACTGGCTTGCTGGGATTCAGCATCGCCTCTCTTTAGTTTCTCCCCTGTCTCAGCCGCTTTTTGGGTCTGCAGGAGTGGCATGATCCACTTAGCAACCCCTCTGAGTTGCGGCTGCTTGGCTGTGTTTTATTTTCACCTTTTCTCTCTTCTTTTCTTTCTCCTTTCGTTTCCTGTTTGTTTGGATCCGTAGTGTTTTGGTAGGTTCTGCTCTTGAGAACCTTACCACCCCTGACTTTGTCTTTTTTTGAGTTCTTAATACCATTCACCATTATAAAAAAAAAACATACAAATATGCTCTAGACTTTCTAACTTCACTATATAGTGCATCCATACCACTGAAGAATTATATTTTTCTTATAAATAATGAGTTTTGTTCTTTCTCCTTACTTATCCAAAGGGTTAATTGCATGGTTGGTCACTGAGATTACAAAAAATGTTCATGTTTGGTCACTGAAAATATTTAAATTCAATCTTGGTCACACAAATTAGTTAAATAGTTCATGTTTGGTCACTCTCCGTCCAACTCCGTTAAATTTGTCTGATGTGGTAGTTGACCGTTAACTCAGTGACGTGACTATTAAAAAATAATAAATAAAATAAATTTTAATCTTCTACCATTTCCAACTCATTTTCACATTAAAGTAAAATCAATAAAACAAAAAAAAATATTATAATTACAAATTGAAAAGGGGCGCTTCCTCGCCACTAATTCCCCAAAAACCCCAGCTCCACTGGTATAGGACATGAAAACTGGTTCCTCGACATAAGCAAAAGTGAGAGGTTAAAAGCAGAGGAAAATTTCCTGGAGATTTGGCCGGTCAAGGAATTCCCATCGAGCTCAAGTAAGTACATCCTGTGGAGTTCCCACATGTCGTCGGGGAGCGGGCCGGACAAGCGGTTGTTCCTCAATCGAACTCGACCCAATCTACGACATTTCCCGAGATGTTCTCGGAGAAAGAATTGTAGATGAGAATCAGATCGTCAAGCAGTCCTTTGACGCACAAATTCGGTGGGATCCCACCGGAGAAGCCATTGTAGGAGACGTCCAGCCGCCAGTGGCGTAGCCAGGATTTTGAGTAAGGGGGTGCCAATTTAAAAAAATTAAAATGGCTATTAATTTTTTATAGTGACCCACGACGGGTTTTCATATTTTGAAAAGTCTGTAAAATACATTTGTTTACTTCTTGAATAAGCATGTAATTATGAGGTTTTTTAATTTAATTTACTTATTATTTGTAAACGGTAAATTATATATATGCAATAGAACGTATTATTGTATCATGTAAGTAATTGTTGTTTAGTGGAAGATGTCAAAGCTAATAGTAAGGGGGTTCCATGTTCAAATCCTAGCTATAGCATAAACTAATACCCCTATTTTTAATGTTCTAACCCCGACCCATTCTAACACTGTGTCTCCGCCCCTGCCAGCCGCATCAGCGGGGAGTTGAGACCGAGTCGAGCGGGCAGAGTCCCGTTCATCTGATTATTGAAGAGCTTGAGCTCGTACAAGTTGGGGGAGCTGGCTATACTCTCATGTAGGCTCCCTTGAATCCGATTCTCGAACAAATTGAGCGACTTGAGGTCCAGCCCACAGAGCTCGTCGGGAATGGTCCCGGTCAAGTCGTTCATGGAGGCGTCGAAACGCCTCAAGGTCGTGAGATTGGAGAAGCCCTGGGGCAGAGTGCCGGTGAGAGAGTTGTTGTAGAGCTCAATCTGGACTATGCTGGTGAAGCGAGTGAAGGAGGGCGGAATGGAACCGGTGAGGCGGTTGTTGGTGAGGTCGAGATTCTGCAGCTTGGGCAACCGGGCGAGCGAGTCCGGGATGGGCCCCCAGAGGTTACAGTCGGCGCCCATGCAACAGCTGATGGTAGGAGCTAGGGATGGGAATTATGGCGGCAGCAAGCGGAGTTAGGGATGGGAATTAGGAGCTGATTTGGTTGAGGGGGATGAATGTAGTGGCGGAGCAAGAGCCCCTTTTCAATTTGTAATTGTAATATTTTTTGTTTTATTTATTTTACTTTATTGTGAAAATGAGTTGGAAATGGTAGAAGATTAAAATTTATTTTATTTATTATTTTTTAATTGCCACGTCACTGAGTTAACGATCAGCTTTGAGGGTTGACTGCCACATCAGACAAATTTAACGGAGTTGGACGGAGAGTGACCAAACTTGAACCATTTAACTAATTTGAGTGACCAAGATTGGATTTAAATATTTACAGTGACCAAACATGAACATTTTTTGTAATCTCAGTGACCAACCATGCAATTAACCCCTTATCCAAATGGCGTTGAAATAAAGTCAATTAGCATCGACATTTTGATAAAAAAAAAGTTACACTAAATAATAGTGTCTCGAAGTTGACTATTAGCTTACTTCACTATAAGAAAACTTGGCTTTAGAAACCAATAATCACTCGTTACATGGCAGCCTCGATCGAAGCAAATGTCATTCGAGAGAGCTCTCCCTTGTCCCATAGCTGATTAGGAATGGTTGATGAGCAAGAACCAGACGTTTTCTATTTTCGTTAAAAATAGGCCATCTGATGTGATGATATGCAAATCTTCCATGGATAGAACGACGTTAAAAATTCAAAGCCTAAACCTCATTTTGCATTCATACGTGCATATAAATATAGGGATCTCCTACAGTAATTTGGGTATAATTTTAAGTTAGGTAACTTGCATAGATCTAAGTCGTTAAAATCGATCAAATTTATTTTAAACCATTGATTAAAGAAATAAAAAATTAGTAAAAAAAATCCATGGCAACATGGGTTGCCTGTGGCCACAAAGCAAGTTACCTTTCTTGTTTTTTTACTTTCCTTTTTCATATTTATATGTTTTTCCTTATTTTATCCTTTCCTTATTTTAATTCTGATTAAAGTAGAAGAGTTACGAAAGGCTTCCGTAATAACTTAGCACTTTACGTAACGTGAGATTAATACTCATTACGTAAAGAGACCTTCCATTACATAAAGGTTACGACACGATACTTATTTCTTACGTAACAGTGAAATCGAAAGCGTTACGTAAAGCTTCCGTAATCACTTAGCTTTTTACGTAACACGACATTAATACTCATTACGTAAAGAGACCTTCAATTACGTAAGGCTTCCGCAATGACATTTTACAACTGTTACGTAAAATACACATTCATTACGTAAAGCTTACGTAATGACTTAACATTTTACGTAACACGAGGTTAATACTCATTACGTAAAAAGACCTTCCATTACGTAAAGGTTACGGAACGACAGTTATTTCTTACGTAAAAGTTAAATCAGTAGGTTACGTAATGCTTCCGTAATGACTTAGCATTTTACGTAACGCGAGATTAATACTCATTACGTAAAGACACATTCTATTACGTAAGACTTTCGTAATGATCTTTTACAACTGTTACGTAAGATTACCATATGTTACGTAACCGTTACGTAATACCTATTATATTTTACGTAATGCGACCTGTGAAACCTGCTATAGCAGGTAAAAAAATGCATTTACCTCATATTCTTTTTTTCGTACGCTTTTCACCCTTTCATCTGATGACAATGTTTGAAGTTATCTTGTTTATACAAGTTGTGGAATTGTAGAGAAACTTTACCGCAAAATGAGAAATGAATCAAACCTTTAACATTGTGTTAAAAAAAATACCAATTTTACCAATTTTGAGGAATTGAGATGAAATATACAAGAGAATTCCACCCGTATTTTACTGATTATGATAAAATGATATAAATATCTTCAATTATCAAGTAAATTGCTCCCAACATATAGTTTGGCGCCAACGTACATTCCAGACTTGCTCGCCTAACCTAATATAATCACGAGTATATCAATCTCTCTTAACTTGGGAGGAAAATGGTTTACGATGAAGGTTTTTGGAGATGGATCTTCAAATTGTTTACTAGCTTTTATGAACTTTTTTTTTTTTTTGCTTGGTTCGATGATAACTTTGATGCTTGCATTTTTAGAAGATGATTTTTTTTTGTGTGTGTGTGTGGGAGAAGACAGATTTTCAATGAGTTATGGCAATGTTTTTCTGCTGAAAATTAATAAAGACATAGTTAGAAAATTTTAATTTAATTATGAATGTATTCCAAACACGATTTGAGAATTCAATTCCATTATTTCTAAAAATTTGAATGTCACATTCCAAATGTATAGGAATTCACATGACAGTAATTCTACAGAGAAATTCATTTTTAAATAAAATAAATTCTTGATTCATTTGATTGCAAACGGTCTATTAATGTCGATCCGGAAGGGCCTAGCTATAATCACCGTCACTACAACGTAACACCTGGAGCATGTTCATGTACAATTAATGCATTAGTTATGAGTCAAGAATAGTAGTTTGGATTCATTAATTAAACGGACGCTGGCTAGAAAGTAGAAAGCCAACCAAAACGATCCAATATTGCTCTGGCATTGGACAAGAAGCTGCAACATTATGGTGTACTTAAGGTTGGAAACAACAATTAGTAGAGCGCAAGATATCTAAAGCACAGTACTAATTGTCGATGTGAATTGTGAAGATGGTTTAATGTTACGAGATCGGGCCATCGTAGCATTTCGTAGGAGACTGGGCTTGTGTATCTTTAGTATTTTATTATTATTACATTATTAGTCTTTTTTTATTATATTGTCTTTATTATTGTTTTCCTTGTTCGTATAGGATTTGGTTATTGTTGGTAATATCCTTAGAGGTGTAGGAGTCATAATCTAGATAGGTAAGGGTAGAGGCTTGGTGCCTATAAATATGTACTTGTTTCGTTCGTTTAATGAGAAGAAGATTGGAACCCAATAGTTAGCTTTTGTTCTTAGTTTGCTATTTCCTTAGTTATTTCCTTTGAGAGTTCTTGCGTTTTATTCTCTTTTGCGAGAAAACCCTAAAAACGCCATCCCCCTACGTCACATCACCGTAACAGTTGGTATCCAGAGCCCGGTTCTCGGGATGGCGAGTAAGCAACAACAACCATCGAAATCCAGGGGAGCGGACGGCAGTAGCGGCGACGGGTCGGAACCCAATCATCCACAGCCACGACTACACGCCATGGAGGAGCGGATGGGGAGCTTGGAGGGTCGGCTCAATCCTTTGGTCGAGCGGGTCGAAACTCTAGACCGGAAGCTCACCGACGTCACAAGGTTGATGGCTGAAGGTTTCGCCGCCGCAGAGGCGAGGAATGAGCAACGATTCGCGGCCTTGGAGGACTTAGTGCGAACCATCGCGACGCAGACGATCGCAGCAACAGATCGTCGACTGGAGGCTTTGGACGACGCACTCGAGCGAGACAGTAGTGCAACCGTGACTCCGATCGTAGCTCGAGCTCGCGAGCGACCAGCAGCAACAGCAGCGGAGAAGCTGAAGGGCCCTCTGATCGAGGAGAACAGCGGCGGGGTTAAAACTAAACCGCCGACTAGCATGGGGTCGCCGATGGACAGTAGCAGCGGAGAAAAGACAAGCAACGGCGGCGGCACCGGTGGAACAGCGGCGTTGGGACCTGGCTGGGGTAACCTCGCCGTGTCTGAGGGTCCGATCGGTGGAAAGCAAGGAGGCCCAACGGGAGGAAGCTTGCCGGCGAAGATGTCAGGGAACGCGGGGACGATGACGGGAATTCCAGGCGTAACCCCACCGGGTTGGGTCGGACCGCCGGGCTATGACATCGGGGTGAATGGATCAACACGGGTTGGACCAGGGTTAGTTGGGCCGAATAATTGGGCTTGGCCCAATTACCAAGGGCCGCCAGGATTCGGACCACCGGGCCTCAATGCAGGGTGGAACCCAGGAGCTGGGCCTTCGATTACTGGGCCGCCACAGTCCATGGTCGGACCCGGGGTGGGTGTGAGCCCCAGTTCGGGGCAACTAACGGGCGGGAACGGAGGATCGGGACCCATGGCCATCTGGGCCGGAGTTCCAAGCGCAGGAGAAGGGCCGCCAGGGTTGGGTCCTCAACACTTCAATGGAGGAATGGGCTCAACGAGCAATTGGGCCGGAGCAAGTGGAACAGCGGCCCAAGGAGGACGCGGCAGCGGAGCCCAAGGAGGAAGAAACGGCGGGCCGGGAGAGAGCGGGCTGGTCGGTGGCGGATTGGGCTGGGTTCCGCAACCTGGCTTGGGCAGTACGTCTGGGCTGCCAACCGGGCCGACCAGAATGGGCCTGGGCCTCAATTGGGGCCAGCTGCCGAGCGGGGAAGTCATGCCCATGGCCGTCTGGGCCGGAGCCACGCGCGCGGAGCACGAGCCAGCAGGGAGTGGGCCTGCCGCGAGCGGGCTTGGAGCAAACTGGCCGGCGCCAGTCAGGCCGCCGACTGGGCCACCGTCTGGGCCGCCTGGGCCTTGGGGAAATCCAACTGGAGTGGGAGAAGGATAGCGTGGTGGGCCGAGCAGAAAGATGGAGGAGAAGAATGGATGGTTTAAGCCCAAATTAGCCCAACTTGAATTCCCAAAGTACAATGGGAGTGAAGATCCGTCAGGCTGGTTCGCAAGAGTGGAGCAGTTTTTTCGATTCCAGGAAACCCCAGAGGAGCACAAGGTGGCTCTCGCGTCATACCACATGGAGGGAGATGCAAATCAGTGGTGGCAGTGGTTGGAACGCACATACCTCACATCAGGGCTACCAATTACGTGGGCGCGATTCAGAGAAGAACTATGGGCTCGATTTGGCCCAGCTGAGGGAGCATCTAGCCATGAAGCTCTCGCCAAAATTAAGTACAATGGGAGTGAAGATCCGTCAGGCTGGTTCGCAAGAGTGGAGCAGTTTTTTCGATTCCAGGAAACCCCAGAGGAGCACAAGGTGG